ACATTGTCTCTTAGCAAGTACTCAATCGATCTTGTCCATTCTGACAACTGAATCATTACCACAGATCATCGTTTAAAACTAATTCCAAACATCATCAGCATCCTTTATAATTCCTGCTCAAAATATTCAACGTATCTTGTTTAAAAATGCTGCATTATTAATTACCTTCCTTAAATCTCATTATAAAATTATATTCCCATTGTTAAGAATTATGACTGGCACAACTGGCATTAAAGAAAAAAATCCTATTTTGCAGTTGCACTGGAGTTGCTGCTTGTTAAAAAGAGTGTCTGTAGTTCAATTTTGCTGCTTTAATGTTTAAAAGTTAAACTTAAAATGACCTCCATGAAATAGCATAATTTACTATGTTTTATGTTGATTGTTGTTTCACATTTACTGATGTTAAGGGGCTTCAATCTGACACAATGTAGCCAGCTCACTGACCATGAGTACAACAACAGTGATTATTTGATATGATTTATGAAAATAACTTCAGCTACAAATTCTGGATTAGACAGTCAGTTAGGTCAGGTGGCTGGATGGCTGGTTTTCGATGCAGAGTGACACCAACAGTGTGGGTTCAATTCCTGCACCAAAGGTCACAAAGAATGACTTTCCTTTTCAATCTCTGCCCTTGCCTGAGGCATGGTGACCCTTAGGTTAAACTACCTCCAGTCATCTCTCTAATGGTCTATGGTCTGTAAGACTATAGCAACTTTATTCTGGATTATAATTTTTGTCTAGAACTGTTGCTTTGTGCAGGATTTCTAAACTATGAAATAAATGCTGCAAATCCTCAAGACATGTGGAGCATGTGTGTGAACATTCAGATTTTTCAACTTCCAATAGTCAAGATTTTACACTTATACATATATCTACAGTACAAATTAAAAGATTCAACTGGACCTTACCTCAGGAATATGCGGCATACTGAAATGTAATATGGTTATACAAAAAAAAGGGAAGAAAAGACTATCACACCCATCACGTTCCCTCCTATGCGAATACTTGTTGGGGACAGCATATTTGCCTGGATAACCAACAGAGGAAAGAGTTGGGATAAGGGGTATTTTTAGAATGGTAATCTGTAACTAGTAGAGTGCCACAGGCATCAGTGCTGAGGCCAGAACTAATTACAATATACATTAATGACTAGGATGAGGAAAGTGAATGTATTATCACTATGCTTACAGATGATACAAAAATAGGTGGGATGGGAAGATCACACGATGAGACAACAGCGGGATATGGGCAGATTCAGTCAGTAGGCAAAAACTTCGCAGATGGGACGTAATGTAGGCTTTAGGGGGCCTTATGCATAAATCATAAAGCTAGCATCCAATTCAGCAGCTAATACAGAAAAGGCAAATGGATTATTGGACTTTATTTCAAAGGGAATGAAGTATAAAAATGGGAGCTCTTACTAAAACTATACACGGCATAAGTCAGACCACACCTAAACTACTGTGAATAGCTTTGGTGTTCTTATCTAAGGGCAGATATACAGGGACTGGAGGCATTTCCTCTATCTTGTTATTTCTTGCGAGTTGTTCTGATGAGTGCAAGATGAAAAATTTTTACAAAGCATGTATTTTTTGCGAGAACAGTTTGGTTTGAAATATTTGCATTCTTTTCACATCTGCATTCTACTTTTACAGAAAAAAATTTCTTCTTTTGCATTTGGTGTGTCTTTTTAACTGCAACAAGTTGATGGGATCTGGAATTCTCTGAACTAAAAGGCAGTGAAAATAAACAATAGTAACTTTTAAAAGAAAATACTCAAAGGGCAATGGGGTGGAAGTGGGCAAATGAATAGATCTTTTAAAGAGCTGTCACAGACATGATGAGTTGCATCTTTCATTCTGTATTATACATTTCTACAAAGTTATGAACTCCTCAATTAGACAGAATCATTGTTCAACTGCCTTCATTAACCCATCTGCTGTATGACTTCATCCAAACACATTTCCGTTGAAAAGGGCATATATGTATTAAGCACAGCAGTATGCATAGTATTTATTCACATTACATAAACAGTACAACTTATCAGTATTGATAAAGCTTAGTTGATGGATGTACAATACATGGACTTTCAGAAGGCTTTTGAGTAAAGTCTGCTACAGAAAGTTATTTAGCAAAATTAACGCTCATTTTGGAGGGAAAAAGTAGTAATACTTAGAAGGAAATGTTTTAGTCATACTAGAACTTCAGTTTGAAGTATGCAGGTCAAGTTGGACCAAAATGTGTCATTCACAAGTTTTATTGTTTTTTCCTTCTGGGATGTGATAGGTGGTAACATAGTGACATGGATTAAAGATTGGCTAACAGGCAGACAACAGAGTGGGAATAAACAGGTCATTCCTGCATTGGAAGGATGCTGCAAGGATTGTTGCTTGGTCTCTAGCTGTTCATAATATATATCTGTGATTTGGAGGTGAGGGCAAATATAATATTTCAAACTGCAAGGATAATACAAAGCGAGGTAGGAATGCGTGGTTTGAAGAAGATATAAAGCAGATTCAAGAGAAATTGGATAGATTCAAAGTGAGCAAGAACATGATAATTGTAATATAATGCAGAAATATGAGAGGTTATCTACTTTGGTAGGAGGAACAGGTGTATAGAGTATTTCCTAAATTGCAAGAAGTTAGAAAACAGACATACAAAGGGACCTGGGCATCCTTGTCAATAAGTCTCTAAAGGCCAACATGCAACAAGTACTTAGAAAGGCGAATAGTATGCCAGCTTTTATTACAAGAGGATTCAAGAGCAAGAATAACAAAATCTTGCTTCAATTGTATGGAACCACTTGCTGTGTTACCTGAGGAAAGCAAGATATTATGGCCGCGGACGGAGTGCAATAAAAGTTCACCAGACTGTCCTCTGAAGAAAGATTAGGCTTGTATTGTCTACAGTTTTGAAGAATGAGAGGTAATCTTATTGAAATCTACCAAAATATGAAAGGGACAGATAGATGGAGGAAAGATGTTTCTCCTCCTTGGGGAGTCTGGAGCAAAGGGTCAATTTCAAAAGATGGGGAATTCACTTAGATGTGGAGAATTTTTTTTTTGTTTTGCAGAGTCATGCATCTTTGGAATTCCCTGCCAGAGGAGGCTGTGGAGGCTTTCCAAAGTAAAGATTAGAAGATTTCTAAATACCAGTGATATAGGGATAGCGTACAAAAAGGCACTGAAGTGGAAGATCAGGCATGACTGTACTGAATAATGAAGCAGACTGAATTGTCTACTTCTGCTCCTATTCTCTCACTTCAAATTTGCTATTCTCCCAGCTTGTTTATTCCTATCTATGATTATCCATCAGTACCCCAACACACAACTGTGAAGGAGAGAGAAAAAGAGGATGAACTATGAGATTGACAGAGAGATGCGCAATAGAGAGAGGAGGAGATGAAAAGAATGAAAGAAAACAGATGACAGTGGGAGAGTGAGAATGAAAAAGAAAAGCAGAGAACCAGAACCAAATAAATTACAACAAACAACGTTGTGATTTTATTTGTTTCTCAACAATTATTTGCTTTTAAAAGTCTTGAAACATGTAATTATACTTCACTGTACAAATGCATCTTCTTGGCTGAAATCAAAACTCTAGTATTTGATAGGATTATATTAATAAAAAGAACATATGGATCATATGGAATAGTAAGAATTTAAAAGAAAATCATGCATATTCTTAGAAATAAATGGAATGCAACTAAAACATTTTCTCCACATTGCAAATGATCTAACCTGTGCTGCAGCTGACAAATTCATCTGACCAAGGTTAAGAAACTAAATTAACAGATAGCCGTGGCAGTCAGAGCCATGATCTTTCAGTGGTGACTCAAAGTTATACTGTAAAGATACTAGTTTTCAGTAGAAAGCGAATCAGTACAGAATGCACTTTTTAAGATGTATTTTTAACTGAACTCAAAATTAAGCTGCAACTATATAAAGAAGCAACCAATATCAAGTTGAAGAATGCAAAAAGAACAGTTCTGTCTTTTGCAAAGCAGCAAACAATGGGTCGAAATGATTAGAATCATAGAATCCCTACAGTGTGGAAACAGGCCTTTCGGCCCAACAAGTCCACACCGAGCCTCAGAGCATCCCACCCAGACCCATCCCCCTATAACCCACCTAATCTAGACATCTCTGAACACTACGGGCAATTTAGCATGGCCAATCCACCTAACCTGCACATCTTTGGACTGTGGGAAGAAACCGGAGCACCCGGAGGAAACCCATGCAGAGACGGGGAGAATGTGCAAACTCCACACAGACAGTCGCCTGAGGCTGAAATCGAACCCGGGTCCCTGGCGCTGTGAGGCAGCAGTGCTAAGCACTGTGCCACCGTGCTGCCCCTAAATTATGTTTACAATCACATTTAAAGGCCACAAGATTATTGGAAGTTGGATCTCAGGCCTCATTATTATTCTGGACCAAGCTGTTGGAGCTGAATACAACTCTACTGACTACTTCCTACAGACAACACATCAAAGCAGGGCCGCATGCTTCACTAGCAGTGACACTCAGGCAGGTTTGGGGAGGAATAAAGAAAAGCTGCCATGAAAGCATACAGAGCAAAGTACGCACGAGCTCTAACCCACATTACCGCTAACTAATTTCTTGATGTGAACCTTCAACAGGCATTAGGACCCTAATTTACAGTTTAGCAGTGGGATCAACGTTTGCACAAATGGGCCACAAAATGCACTATTGACAAACTGGTGCACTTTTTGTCCTATATATGCCCGAAAAGCAAACATACCAACACCAAATTTCTAGTATTAAACTTGTTTCACCAACAATAAAAGTATGTTCACTCAACCTATGTTTCCACAGGTGGCAACCCAAAAAACCCTGTCCACAATTTGTGTAACTCAGCAAGCAAGGAGCCAATGGTATTTCAAACTGAAGTCATGTCAGATAGGAGATTATAAAAAGTGTAAAAATAATAAGGAAGCAACTATCATGTACAGAGTGTTGCTGCTCCTTTCCCACCTTATTTGATGTTTTCAGAATAGGAACTTCACTCTCAGACCGCATTTTGTTTTCAATTTCTTCCCAATTTCTATCTTCATTTTTGAACAAAATCCTGCAAACAGAAAGTTTAAAATGTCACCACAGTAACTGTACAAAAAGTAGAAATTTTTTTTTGCCCCTAGCATTTTCATTTACTTATGATCTTAACTAAGTCTTTCCTAACACCACATAATTATTCTCAAAACAGAATGGTTAGTTCAGAATTTTCATGTAATGTTTTAAACTGTGCAAAATATTTTGTTTCCTCATCACCACTTGCATCTCACCAGTCAGTGAGTTTTGCTACATGGACTTGTTAAAACAAGGGTTTTTGCAGAACACATCCTATAACACTTTCACATGATGAAAAACAAGGTCACCCCCTTCTTTATTTCTTCATTATAATTGGACATATTCAATTAGGATTATGATATTTCCAACAGATAGAGATCCTATAGACATTTTAAACATTAAATAATCAATCTGATGAGAGAATTTTGCCATGTACTTATTGTTCACATTTTAATATGCTAATTATATTAAATATTAGTTATTTATACATGATTTTGAAAAGAGGAAAATGGTGGCTGAATTTACAAACTTAGTTGGGTGGTTTAGTGGTGTTAGTTTGCTAACTTTTAAAAAAAAAAAAAAAAAAAAAAAAGATTTTGTAGGGAGTGGAATGTGCAACTAAGCCATTAACAAACATTTTTTGTCCTGTTGATGTGATATGTCTAGGATGCAATGCATCCAGGACCACATTTTCAGGTACGATGTCTGTGTAATGCGTATCATTGCAGAAGAATCCTAATTAATTTAATTACATAGATGCTGTGGACTAAGCCACTCAAAATGTTTTCATATTGAATACTGTGCTGAAATTACTCGGAGATCATCGTGCAGCTTGAGCTCCAAATATACAAATGAAATTAAGCACATAATCTATTGTGAAAATGGCTTTTGGATTCTTCAGTTATATACATTGATTTTCACAAATGCAAACACAAACCCTATTGGAACACTGTACATGAGTGATTATGAAACTGCTTATCTACATCAGCCAGTCGAATAGAAGAACATAACTACTTGGTACTCTGGAGATCTCGATGCAAGATCCTTTCATAGTTCTACCAATATTAGGAAGGTAGATTACTAAACAGATTGCACATAAGGCTAGGTTGAATGTTCCATTAAACCATGGGATATTATTGCTCCTGCAATACATGTACTTAATAGATGCCTTGGATAACTATACTACTTGCAATGTTATAAAATTCATTTTTAATAATTACAAATACAGATATCTAATGACTTCAGATATTATATGTTGAAAGTTACATTGCAAGGTTCACTGGCATCATTGTTGGGGTGCACAATCTTCAGAATATCTGCCCTACTGCACCATCAGAATAATATGAAAAATAGAATTTATATTAGAACAAGGACCTAGGATTATCTAAAATTAACACTTCGATTTTAAAAATCAGTACAGACTAAGGTTTTAAAATTAATCACTAAACTCCAGAGACATCATGGGGTTTTCACTACATTAAAAGGCACTACAAAATGTAAGTTATTGTTGTGAAATGGTTTGGAGCTTCAATTAATAGGCACAGCATCACCTGCAGCTCACGCTTAAACACCAAAAAATCAAGTACCATAAATTGTGTGATCTGCGCTCAATTCACCAGTTATGCAAAGCTGTACACTGCACTCTAGTCTTACTGAGTTTACAGTGAACTGAAGTTGTAGGTTTAAGTTCAGAGCTAAGCCACCAGGTGGACAAAGTGCCAGGGTAAACGAAGGCCTTACAATATGGCATACCCTAACAAAATAGCATTAGTAGAGAAAAATCTGAATCATTTTTATGTTAGAGGTGTGTCTCAGAATAACCTGGAAAACATAAATAAACTGCAGATGGCTGCAAAAATAATAGTTTTTAAAGAGGCAAGTATTGCTTTGTTCCAGTAGATTTATCGCCCTGCATTTACATATATTGACAAAACTGCCTTACTGGTTCATATTCCAAGTAGTAGAAGATTTATGACTGTGCAAACTTAAGGTGGTGCAGAATCGTTAGAATTGATGTGAAAATCAATCCTCCTATTCTGAGCTGTGCTGCCCTTCAAATCAATGATCTAAATAAACTGAATACCTTCTTCCCTTGAAAGCAACTTACATTTATAGCAAAAAGACACATATGGCATCCTCAAAATTCATAGGAGAATTCTGGTAGCTATGCACTTCATACAGATGGGGCAGTCTGAAATGTTGGCTGCCAGCGATTCAGAGGGAAAATTATCACAAAACTGTCAGCATTGATCTTTGGCTCAGTAGTGAGGATGACTTTTTGGGCACAATTGGACTGAGACTACCTAAGCCTTGCCATAATCCAATGGTCAGGTCATTGCTAATTCATCACTACATGAACAGTAACGTTTATCAAATCACTGGAGAGAGACTGATCACATGCAAGCTGCAGCATGCAATGGTGGCAGGTTCACTTCTCTGCAGAATACGTGAATCAACCTGGTTAACTTAAAAAATTGAATGTTCCTATTTATAAATACAATATGGGTAATTTTTCCAGGCTGGCAGGGACGGGAAGACCTAAAAATTACAAAATTCTGTCACGCTTGCAGCCCAGTACACCCCTGCCTTCTTTTAGCTTCCCTAGGAACAGGTAGGGAGGGAAGTTGGAACAACTGCAGCTGAGGTGAGAAGATAATGAAAATTATGTGCACAGTCCGTGGGACATCATGGATAGGCTTTGATCAGTTACTCTGGAGAACTCTATACATGGCCAGTTAAAGAGGTTAAGTTGTAAAGCAGTCCTTCTGTCATTGTTTGCTTTTTGGAAGCCAGACTAGCCACTGCCTCAACTATCTTCAGCTCAACTTCCCTGCTGCCAGACTTCAGCCAGGCATCGAAACATCTAATGAAACTTCAGTGAACACCTCTTAGAGCCTAGGGCAGACGTTCAACTTCAGCAACTGCTCAAGATCCAGGAGCATCACCAGAAGTAGCAGCATCCTTCTATTCAGCCACAGGACTCTCCAGAGCGGGAGAGAGAGACGTTAAATGAGATGCTGCTAGAAGGAGATGTGACCCTGAACCAATGGTTTACAGAGGATCAGAAATGCGCAAGCTCTAGTGTCCCAAGCAGCTCCGGCTTTTGCAATAGTTGATATCTGCAGATCCGTGGTCTTAGACAGCTATCCTAACTGAGAATTGGCCATACAATAAGATGCTTGCCCGTCCCTGGAGGCCTAAGTCTCAAGTCTCCCCCAAGTGTGTGCCTTTGCCTCAAACTGTGCACTCTCAATTGAGGGGAGAGAATTCAGGGAGGTTAGAATGGTATGAATAGCTTGCAAACAAAGAACTGAAGGTAATCATTTGGGGAGGGTGACTCTGAGGCAAGGTCACAAGAGGATAATCAGGCTGAGGGGAAGTGAGAGTGAGTGTCAGTTGCTCAGATGGCATTCAGGGAAGGAATAAGCAATGCTTTAAAAGTGTGCTAACTTGAGGTTTGCAATGCAAAAGAATGCTGTGCAAGCTGGAGTGTCATTTGGTACCTAAAGGTTCTGTCCAGATGTTCATGGCACATGGTCTCCAAACTGTTGCTTCCCATTGCATGCTTCATTAAAGAAGCCTTCTTCTTCCAATCACCATTGTGACGGCTCACCTTACGCCAAAACCTTCAGCTGAATCTCCAATTAAAAGGAGGAAACCTGGGAAACACCCTTTGCAGAGTTTCTCTCAATTCCTTTAAGTTCAGCAGCCTTAAAAAAACAACTGCTGGTAATCCTTGCTACAAACAAAATATTGGAGGTCCTACCAAACCCCAATTTTTGTTTTAAGTTTGCTTATAGCTCTAATTAAAAGTGGTGCAAAAATTCCTCTAAGATTGCCTGATATCACTTGCCTAGATTAAACCTGGCCATTCCATATTGTACCCAAACACTTATGCAGTTTGTATCAATGTGAAGTTAGTACCAATTCTAATCAATGCACAATGTACAAGTTTAAAAGTTAAATTAGTCAGCTATGTTTCTCTTCACTTTCTCCTCCCATTAACAAAAGGTGAATATGTAAAGTTTTTAGATTACCTGATCTTCAGAGCAGTTTTCTCCATTGCATGCCTAATTTTTTGAGACAGCTGGGATACAGAGGTCAGCATCAAACTATCTAAAACCGCCTAATATACAAAACATATCAAGGAGAGAATTTAGTTATAAAATCATAGAAAGCCAAAATTAAAAACATAACTCAACTACTTTATTACATTAGCCCAAACATGATATTTTTATCCAAAAATCTCTCATTAGCTCTGTTGGTACTCAAAGACACATGCGGCAGCAAAAGGATGGTGCTTGTCACTGATTTTAGAGATAGCTACTCAAAACAATTTAGCACGCAATGGCATGGATATCACCTTTCATGATGTTAACTTGGGAAAAAAAAGTACTGCAGACGCTGGAAACCAGTAAGAAAATCAGAAATTGCTCGAAAAACTCAGGTCTGGTGGCATATGTGGAGAGAAAGCAGCGTTAACGTTTTGGTTCAGTGACCCTTCATCAGTTCTGATGAAAGTTTTTCTAGCGATTTCTGATGCTGTTAAACTTGAGTATGATACAAGTTAAAAGGGATCTCTAGTTATTGTGTAACAGTTATGTCATCAAGTATTATAAGCAACCAGTTAGACTGAAGAATTTCCACAGACAACAAATCAATGTTAAAAACATTGATTACTCCTTGCTAAGAAAATGAAGGCTGAGACTTGCATATAGGATTAAGGTAAAATTAAAAATATCAAAACTTTTAAATACTTTTAAATAATATGCAAATTTATCACTTTTTGCAGTGTGATTAATAGCTTAATAATCACATTTTTAAACAATTTGATTATTTTTAATGGATGCAGTCAGAAGAGTTCAAAAGTGCACACTATTGGCAAGTGTAGGATCACTGACAGCTACTTCTGGATTTCCATGTTTATGTGTGCACATGCAAATTCCAGAAGTTTCTGCTAGACTTTAAGACAGTGAATGCAAATAGTTTAGCTATCTTACAATCTTAAAATCTAGAACAAATAATTCGGACTCTAAAATGTTAATTTGCCAATATATAGCACCTCTAGAGTGCCAAATGTACTTGGCAAAGCATTAAAATGAGATTGAGCCAAAAATGAATGCCAAGTCACAGGAGGAAATACGAGATGTAATGACCAATAACTTGAACAATCTGTATGTTTTAAGTGGGCTTCAAAAGGAGAGAGATGGAAACAAATGTCAGAATGCGCTGTTTCGTTACCTGAAGGTACAGCTGCCGATGGTGGGAAAAAAGGCTAGTCAGAGGAATTGCAAAGTTACAGGTTATAAAGGGCCAAGGTTATGAAAAGATTTAAATACAAGAAGAATTTTAAAACAGAGGTGCTGGGGGAACCAGGAACCCACGTAATTCGGCATAAAATGAGGACAATGGTGAGCAGGACCAACTGTTG